AAGAATTGTCATTTTTACGAGGTTAATTCTGCCTACCACTGATAGTGGAAGGGTAGACCAGCGGTTGAAATCTAACTTACATTTTTCAATGAGAGGACTGAAATTATTTTCAAAAAGATTATCAAAGTTGGAGAAGACAAACACTCCTAAGTACTTGAAGCCATCCTTAACTATCTTAAATGGGAAAGAAGAGAGTGATAAACACCTAGAAAGCTGGTTAATTAGGAGCAGCTCACCTTTCTCAATTTAATTTGTACCCAGAGTAACTGCCAAACAAAGTTAAAATTTCTATAATAACTGGTATAGGTGAGTTAGGGTTAGAGATGAACAGTATCAAATCGTCGGCATAGAGAGATAATTTGTGGGTAATTTCATTTCTGTTAATGCCCTCCACCCCGTTCTCCTGTCTGAGCCAAATGGCCAATGGTTCTATTGCCAATGCAAATAACAATGGGGAGAGGGGACATTCCTGTCTGGTCCCTAGGCCTAAATTTAGAGGGGGTGGTCTTTGGCTGTTTGTTAGAATGCAAGCAGTAGGGGAGTCATAAAGTAGCTTAATCCAGGCTATGAAAGCTGAACTGAAACCAAACTTAGCCAAAACAAAATACAAGTATCGCCATTCAACTCTATTGAAGGCTTTTTCCGCATCCAATGAGATGATAACCTTCGGTGTACCAGAATCAGATGAACAAATCATATCAAAGACTCGTCTGGTATTAAAAAATGAAATTCTTCCGGCCAAGAATCTGGTTTGATCAGCCGATACTATTTTTGGGAGAGCTTTCTGCAGGCCAATACCAATACCTTGGCTAAAATTTTTTGGTCCACATTTAAAAGAGAAATAGGTCAGTAATTGCTGCATTCAAGAGGGTCTTTATTTTTTTATATACATGAGATATTGGCTTCATTTAGGGTTGGAAGCAATTTGCCCCTGCTGAAAGATTTGTTGTATACGTTTACGAGGTGTGGTAAAATAAGAGGTCCAGCTTCCTTTTCAATTTTCAAGAAACTCCTGAAGACCCTGCTCTTCAGAGAGCATCTTCTTAACTAGCACCCTGCCTGCACCCCCCCACCCCCACCCCCCCCACTGTCCACTCCTTGTTCCCTCCTCTCCATGACTGATGTCAAGTTGTTGTTGTTATTGTTGTTGTTAGCCTCAAGGGCAATATGCCGATTATCACTTGTAAGTCGCTTTGGACAAAAGCGTCTGCTAAATACATAAACATAAACAAAATAAGGTGAGATAATTCTTTAAGAACTCCACACTAAACCCATCTGGGCCCCGGGCTTTTCCAGTTTGTAACTCCCTTATTGCTTCCTGAACCTCAGATAGGGTAATTGGTGCTCCCAACCCATCTAGTAAATCTGTGTTAACTTGAGGATAGATTATCTTGTCTAGATGAGATGGGTTTTCCTAAACATCAATGGTTAATTCAGAGGTGTATAAGTTTACATAAAAATTATGAAATGAACTATCAGTATTGGGTCAGCTGTTATTTCTCCAGAGGACAATCTGATCCTGGGGATTACTCTTGAAAGAACTGCTGCTCTGGCCTGATGAACTAGCAGCTTACCTGCTTTATCTCCAATCTCAAAATAGCATTGTCTTGTTCTCAACAGCTGGGCTTCAACTTTCGATGTTGATAGAAGCTCAAATTCCACCTGATATTTCACACGTTGATCATATAAAATGGGTGAAGGAAGGACAGAGTATTGTGCATCTATTTCCTTTAATTTATGTGTAAGCCAATTTATCCTCTCATTGTCCTGTTTTTTCTGTTGAGTAGAAAAAGATATCACTTGTCATCGTAAATATGCTTTACAAGCCTCCCATAATGTACATCTTGGAAAGTTAGGAATGTCATTTAAGGAAGAAAAAAAAATTAACTTCATTTTTAAGAAATTCTATAAATTTTGTGTTCGCCATTATAAAATGGGACAGCCTCCACTAGGTACGAGTTGGAGTACAATTAGGGAAATTTAAATCTATTAACATGGGAGCATGATCCGAGATCACTTTACTATGATATTTACAGGAGGATATCCATTTATGTAACCTATCGTCGACAAGGGAAAAAAACAATTCTCGAATATGTCCGGTGTACATACGAAAATAAGAGAAGACTTTAACAATAGGATTGATAGTTTTCCAGGGATCGCGCAGACCCAGTTGGCTAGTAAAAGCCTTCAAAACAGTGGCAGAGTTAGATACAGTGGTCTGTTTACAAGAGGATCTGTCCAAATTTGGATTTTAAATGAGGTTAAAATCCCCTCCGATGATCAGGAATTGTTTCCCATTGTCCGGGAAAGAAGCAAAGAGATGGGAAATAAATGTACTATCATCCCATACAGGGGCATACACACTTGCTAATGTAACTGGGATATCATAAAGTGTCCCGGAAACGATCACAAAGCGTCCTTCTGAGTCTTCAACAGTGTTTATTAGTTTGAATGCAACGTTTTTACCGATAATGATAACCGCCCCTCTAGCCCTGGCCGAGAATTTAGAGTGAAATAAATGACTCGTCCAGCGTTTTTTAAGACAAACGACCACTGAAGTGTTAAGATGGGTCTCCTGAAGAAAGAAGATATCTCCCTCCAATTGCTTTAGGTGTGAAAGCACTTCATTTCTCTTCACTATACTGTAGCATCATGAATGTCCTACAATACTGTTAACTCCCCTGATATTCCATGAAATTTTCCAGCAGCTATGAATTTTAGAATCTTTAATGAGCGCCATAACCTATTCTTGATTTAGTTACCAAGATCATAGAAGTGATGTACAGGACAAGGGCAAACAGAAATAAAACAAAATGAAAAAATCAGACACACACATCCCCACCCCACCCTCCACCCCCGGATAAAAAAAATCCCACCCTATTAACCTGGTGGCCCCACATAGCTTCCAGTTCTTGATCATTCTACTTTCTCCTTTGGCTTCTCCCTCCAACAGTTCCTCACATCCCAATTTTTAGCCAAGAGCCAACCTGTTAAAATTAATCCAAATGGACCATGGGATCCTTTTGTTTGGCAACGTATAGTCTTAGTGTCTGATGGCATCTCTCACAAGGGGACAAAGGCAATGAAGAGAGTGGATATTCTCAGGAGAATTACTGGATCAGATCTGATTCAACATTTTGATTCTGTGTCATATCAAATAATGCCTGGGGAACATAGGCTTCCCTGCATGCTTTTTCATTTCAGGGAAAGGCACGGAGGTGATTGCGTATAGAAACGCACCAAGCTGCAACGAACTTCGATGTCTGATGCTGCACACATCCAGGGTCCAGATCAAGCTCCTATGTCAATATCGGTATCTGAGCTGATTCAAGTGCCACAGCAGGGGTCAGGACTGGCCTCTGTTTTTGATCCGCAGAGCCGAATTCAAGGTAAACCTTTTGTTCCTGTTCACAGCTTCAACGGGCAGCAGTGGATGACGGGTGGCCAGCAACGAGGACCCAATCAGATGTGCATGTGTCAAGGCAATATGAATTTGCAGTGCATCCCACAGATGCCATTGCAGACGACAGCTTCTTGGTTTCAAGAGGCGTGATGAACTGAGACTGATCCCAGACTTGTTAACTATACAAAATCAAGTCTGGATTAATTCTCAGTTCTGTGAAACCAATTCATGCCTGCTGCCTTCCTTTGCGTGTGTGTGTGTGTGTGTGTGTGTGTGTGTGTGTGTGTGTGTGTGTGTGTGTGTGTGTGTGTGTGTGTGTGTGTGTGTGTGTGTGTGTGAGAGAGACTCTGTTGCCCCTGAGGTCATAAATATTCTGAGCTGTTTCGGCCTCACTGTTCTGTGGTAACCTTTTGACCTCCAGAGAAGTGGAGGAGGCAGGGAAGCTTATCCTGGAGAAAGTCCAGGTGCACCAGCTAATAGTTATAAAAACAAATCATGTACTCTTAAAATCGGTAAGCCCACTAACTAGCATGAAGGAGAAGATTAACTGTTCCTCCCCAAGGCCGAGAGTGGAAGAAGAGGAGTAGAAGGAGGGGCAACGATGGGCTAGGTCACCAGAGGCCAAGGAGAGACAAAATGGGCTGGCTCTAGAGAAGAAAGAAGCCTGCCGGAGGAGGTGACGTAATCCCAAGGAGAAGAGGATACACGTGACCAGACGTTGAGCTCCAGCAGCAGGATGGGGGGGGGGGGGGGGTTGCCATGGAGATGCAACCCCTTGAAGAATGCAGAGGGGACAGGGACAGAGTAAATAAAAAGGAGCCACTGGGTCTGTAAAAGAGCCTTTGATGGGAAGAGCTTGTGGGTAATGAAATGGGGAGAGAAATAGAGTAACCCCCAAATTCCACTACCTCCGCTCCGCTCCGCTCCGCTCCGACACGAACGCCGGAGCAAAATCGGTCCCGTTGTAGTCAGTCAGAGCAATTCCACTACTGCGGCCGTGCTCCGGCAGTGCGGCGCCGTGCGCCGCCCTCTGTTCCGGTGTCCGGCAAAAATAGAATCGATCCTATTTTTGCCGGACGCCGGAGCACCTCCGCAATCAATGGACAGAAATCACAACGGCCCAACAGGAAAAGGAGCAAGCACAACTTCCGTTTTTCACAATAAATCGATAAACAAAAGGCGTTTTTTGTTTCATATGCACAGGTTTAACAACTTTTAACAACTATCAATGGCGGCTGAACTTTAAATGCCCAAAAGTAAGCCATAAATACAGTTTCCGCTATCAAAGTAGTCACATTTTGTTGATCCAAACACTGCTGATCTCAACACAAATGATGGGCAGATTGAACAGTTCATGCCGATGCTTCTCCCACACAACGGGTGTTTGGATCTAACTTCCGCGTTTATTGCTCGGACTGTATCGCAAGATCTTGAAAATCCCGCGCATGCTTGTTTGCCCCCCCTCAGGTCTCCGCACCGGAGCGGAGCCGTTGTAGAGCGCGTACCAGTAAAAATTGAGTTCGGAAGCGAGCGGCTGCGGAAGGCGGGGGCGGACCGCAGCGGAGCGGAGCGGAGGTAGTGGAATTTGGGGGTAAGAGCTGCTGAGGCTGCAGAGAAAGGCCCCTGCCTCTTGGGCTATGTGTTTCTGTGAGATTCTGCCCGGGGTCATTTTTCCAGAGCTCATTCAGCTCAAACTTTGCTATGACTCGGTTTATTGGTAAAGAGTTTTTTTTCTTCCACTTTTTAACCCGCTGCGACAGGAGATGCTACATGGATTATATTTTTCTTTTTCATCTGTGTGGAATAAAATTGGTTTCTCACCGCGAGGAACTTAAAAAGAAGTCCACGGTCTGGGGGTCTCCTCTGTTGGTAATCTACGAGAAAGGTGAGGCGCTGATTACCGGTATCCCATCCCAAAAAGGTTTGAATGCTACTAGCTGTTACAACCATCCTTTGCTACAGTTAAACTACCTGTTTCCTCAGCAATGAAGGAACAGCTGATTAGTCTTGACCTGAGGCTTACATGAGCTGGAGGAATGGGAAGTGTGTGTGCTGGTGTAATTTAAAGTCTTCCTTGTGTCTACTTAAAGGTATATTGGTCAGAATTAGAAGCCCTGGGTAATTCGGTGATTGCTAATCAACTCTCTACATAGTTAAAGGGTGTTTATTGGCAATTAATGCCACGCCCACTACACTGATTGCAGGCCAAACCTGAGATTTTAAAAACATCTAATTAAGAGTGGAGCTAGTCCAGCAAATTGGCTTGCAAGAAACTCATATCAGCTGAAAACAGCCACTCTTATAACAGTCCAGTCCGGCCTAGATAACCAGGCAGGCTTGGCACAGAAGGGCCTTGAGAAGGGAACAGTTTGTTGACACTTTGTTTATCATGTGTTCCGAGCTACAGAGAGGCTCCAGCTGATGGAAAAGCAGGATCCGGCAGATTAAAGGCAACACATGCAGACTCCTGTCTCCATGTAGACCAGATACTGAAGGGGTTAAACTGTACATGAAAACTGACCATTTCTGGGCATTACACAGATGATCCAAACCAGCTTCCTCTGTCTGAGCAGCTTGATGCACAAATGTTGTTTCATGTATCTGTGCACATCAGAGACCAGGGCTCGATACTGTGTTGTGTAAGGAAATAAATCAAACTAATATGACTGCTAAGTTAATTACTATTTAAAGTTGCCTACTACCTCTGTCCCAAAACAAAACTTAACCTTGCCTTACCCAGGGGAAGGAAATCTCAGGATCTTACAAATAAGAGCTGGACCGAGCAACAAAAGAAAGCGTCCCACATGACTCCGCTTACTAAAGAGCACTGGTGGGGGAGCTTTCCAAAACAGCTCTGTAAATATATCCAGCTAATCCAAGTCGTCACTGGTGCCTACATTAAGCCAAAAGTTCTTCTCTCTCAGCCTCCAGTCTGTCTGCTTCCTTCTCTTCTAATAAATTTCCGGCAGGCTATATGCTGGAGTGCACAATGCTGCCCTCCACAGTTATATTACTGCTACATCATATCCTCGAATAAATGCCAGTGTGATGGAGGAATTGAACAATCACGCACATTGGGAATTTGCACTAATCGAGAAAAAAAAGGACTTAAAGGAAAAAGATTCCAACCCCAAATCCACCAGCTCCATAAAAAGTTGCTGCCTCTCACTACAGGGAGTGCAGAATTATTAGGCAAGTTGTATTTTTGAGGAATAATTTTATTATTGAACAACAACCATGTTCTCAATGAACCCAAAAAACTCATTAATAACAAAGCTGAATGTTTTTGGAAGTAGTTTGTAGTTTGTTTTTAGTTTTAGCTATTTTAGGGGGATATGTGTGTGTGCAGGTGACTATTACTGTGCATAATTATTAGGCAACTTAACAAAAAACAAATATATACCCATTTCATTTATTTATTTTTACCAGTGAAACCAATATAACATCTCCACATTCCCAAATATACATTTCTGACATTCAAAAACAAATCAGCGACCAATATAGCCACCTTTCTTTGCAAGGACACTCAAAAGCCTGTCATCCATGGATTCTGTCAGTGTTTTGATCTGTTCACCATCAACATTGTGTGCAGCAGCAACCACAGCCTCCCAGCCACTGTTCAGAGAGGTGCACTGTTTTCCCTCCTTGTAAATCTCACACGTGATGATGGACCACAGGTTCTCAATGGGGTTCAGATCAGGTGAACAAGGAGGCCATGTCATTAGTTTTTCTTCTTTTATACCCTCTCTTGCCAGCCACGCTGTGGGGTACTTGGACGCGTGTGATGGAGTATTGTCCTGCATGAAAATCATGTTTTTCTTGAAGGATGCAGACTTCTTCCTGTACCACTGCTTGAAGAAGGTGTCTTCCAGAAACTGGCAGTAGGACTGGGAGTTGAGCTTGACTCCATCCTCAACCCGAAAAGGCCCCACAAGCTCATCTTTGATGATACCAGCCCAAACCAGTACTCCACCTCCACCTTGCTGGCGTCTGAGTCGGACTGGAGCTCTCTGCCCTTTACCAATCCAGCCACGGGCCCATCCATCTGGCCCATCAAGACTCACTCTCATTTCATCAGTCCATAAAACCTTAGAAAAATCAGTCTGGAGATATTTCTTGGCCCAGTCTTGATGTTTCAGCGTGTGTGTCTTGTTCAGCGGTGGTCGTCTTTCAGCCTTTCTTACCTTGGCCATGTCTCGGAGTATTGCACACCTTGTGCTTTTGGGCACTCCAGTGATGTTGCAGCTCTGAAATATGGCCAAACTGGTGGCAAGTGGCATCTTGGCAGCTGCACGCTTGACTTTTCTCAGTTCATGGGCAGTTATTTTGCGCCTTGGTTTGTCCACACACTTCTTGCGACCCTGTTGACTATTTTGAATGAAACGCTTGATTGTTCGATGATCACGCTTCAGAAGCTTTGCAATTTTAAGACTGCTGCATCCCTCTGCAAGATATCTCACTATTTTTGACTTTTCTGAGCCTGTCAAGTCCTTCTTTTGACCCATTTTGCCAAAGTAAAGGAAGTTGCCTAATAACTATGCACACCTGATATAGGGTGTTGATGTCATTAGACCACACCCCTTCTCATTACAGAGATGCACATCACCTAATATGCTTAAATGGTAGTAGGCTTTCGAGCCTATACAGCTTGGAGTAAGACAACAAGAATGAAGAGGATGATGTGGACAAAATACTCATTTGCCTAATAATTCTGCACTCCCTGTATTGTATTTGCTACATGACAACAATACATGAACAACAGTTTCAGAACTACCACACTCACACAACCCATCTACATGTTTACCAATCCTAAATAAACATGCCGCCAGACCACAGTGCCCTAATCTCATTCTGGTAATCACCACTTCATCTCTACGACAACAGGTTAAGGGTTGCCAACTAGTATGAGCTGACGGCTGACAAGAAAAATAAATTCTTCCTCTATGTTCCCCTTCCCATTCTTTCTGCCACAAATTTACAAAATAGTTATTGCATATACTATAACATTCTCTTTTTCCCAGAGGAAGATGATGATCAATGCTATTTCTAAGGATGGAGTCTCCGGCCAATGCATCCGCTATTTAATTTCCCAAAATTCCAGTATGTCCAGGGACCCAGACAAATACCACCTTAGAACCCGCATTCTCAGCGTCTTTAAGACAACACAAAATCTCCAAAACTACGTCCTTCCGTGCCTCAGATGTCCCGTTACTTAGAGTCAACAGTGCAGCAGCAGAATCAGAGCAGATAATGGAGTGAGATGGTTTATGCTCCACTATCCACTTCATTGCCCACAAAATAGCCAAAAGCTCAACAGAAAAAACAGACAATTTATCTGTCACACGAACACTTGATCTAACTTGTGGCTCAACAATAAACCCCAAAACCAGCTTTATGAAATGTAGTTTCTTTAGATCCATCAGTATAAATTTGGATAGCATCTTTGTGCTCACTTAAATGCATTTCTAACAGTCTGATGGCAACCGCTTTTTCTAATCCTAGTAAATCCAAAACAATTTCTGGCTCAGGTAATTTCCAAAATGATATTGGAGACCACACTAACCCCACCATCATATCATTTTGTAGTCCTAGGAGATTCACTAGTTTTACAATATGATTTAGGAAACTATCCTTATCCTTATCCTGATCTTCACTGGATTCCCAACAATCATCTATGAGACATTTGGATGCCAAGCTGCCACTAAACCCGGCCAGTCTAGTCCAATAATGAACTCCTAGTTTTTCCCTCCTCATTTTCAAAGGGTACTCCCCCGTTTCAACCAGCAATGCTGGAATTGATGTCGATCTAAAAGCTCCACAACAGTCTTAGGGCCTTAAACTGCACATAATCCAATTTACACAACACAGATTTAGAAGCTTTCCCAAAAACCACACATCCATAATCCAAAACAGGCCTAATCATAGCCCTATAGATTAACTGTAAAGTACTTCTCTCCACTCCCCAGCTGCTACCTGATAAACTCCTCATGACATTAATCACCTTTTCACATTTGCTTACTAATCTTTCTATATGTGTTTTCCAGATTAATTTCTCGTCAAACCAAAAACTTAAAAACTTTAACCCTTCCAATCACAGAGCCATAAATATGAACATTCATAGATGGGATTTTCCTTTTTAAGCCAAAGATCATAAATTTACTTTTTACTATAAATAACTTGAATCCCCAGTTACTTGCCCACTACACAATTTGATCTAAAGCTTTCTGAGTCTGAGAAAACAAATGCTTAAAATTCCTCCCACTTCTCCAGATGGCACCGTCATCTGCAAATAGAGATTTTCCAAACCTATCATCAACTTTCTCAAAAATAGTATTAATCATAACATTAAATAAAACTGGACTTATAACTGCCCCTTGCGGAGTACCGTTTTCTACTACCGCAGGTTCTGACAAAACATTCCCCACACTTACCTGAGTTGATCTTTTTAAACATCCTACCATGAACTCCAGCGTCATACAATTTAAGAAGTAAACCCAGCGCCGGCGCTCCGCACACGCACACCACGCGTAGCGCGTAGGGCACCACGCCGGGGGAGGGGCACCAAACGCAAACTTATGAAAAAATTAAATATAGATATGATAACGACAGATTTCAATTAGAAGATCTGCAAAGCAAGTTAACAGCATGTTTACAGAGAGAAAACAATACAAAAAGTAAAGGAGATGGACCGTGTCCACTTTTCACTCTCTGTCCGGGACGTCCGGACTGGGGGTTCTTGTATTGATGAAAATGTCTGGCTTTTCATCCAGGAGCAGGGATCGAATTATGGGGGAGCTGTATATCCTACACATCCAGGGGAGCAGTAAAAAAGTTTTCTACCTATATTACATCATTTATGGACTTTTCTGAGCAGAGAGCACAGAC